AACACTTAAAACAACACAGTAGTGGTGAGGGTCCAAGGTGGAAGTTAAAGTGGTTGCAGGTGAGCGAAAACCAACCCAAACACACTACTGCCAGAGAGAGGGGAAAGATAAGAAGAGAAGAAAGGAAAGGGAAGGGAAGAGAAGAGAGAAAAAGGAGAAGATGAGAGGCCATGGTGAAGAAAGAGTGTAGAGAGATGGAGAGAAAGAGCCACAATGAAGGAAAAAAGAGTGCACAGAATCAGAATAGGTAATTTTGACATTTTTACCCTTTAACTGTTAAAAGGAACGATATTAGTTTAAGGGTAGGAATCTAGAATAAATTAAACTTGACAACTTGGAATTTCGCTAAACCTCAAGTGGGAACATATTGCTTCTTTTTTTTTTTTTTTTTTTTTTCGGGTATAGGGTAATTGTATAAAAAAGAAAGAATGAAAACAATGAAGCAGGGAAAAGAAAATCCCCTGCCACAAATTCTTGGATAGGCCCAAGAAAAAAGTCAAAAACTATACATATGAAGTCAGAATATTCACAAAAATGTAACCATAAACCAAATCAGCTCAGGCTGAGACAAAACAAAGAGCCCAAGGGACCCAAACAACGAAAGCAAAACAAATTAAGTAGCCCACTATATAAACTGAAAGCATAGGCTAAAGTATGGCTGTCAATTTCTCTAGGAGCAAACATCCCCATAAACCACCATAACTGTAAACTTCATATTCTGATACTGCAGATATGCCAGCCTGAAACCACAATCTGAAATATCATCCATCCCAATAGGATAATCTAGAACAGCATTACGTATACTCCATAAATGCTTATGACACCAAACAAGATGCATTCTATACATAGGCCAGAATATGCACAATCTCAGCTTGTTCTCCCACAGATTCATCTCCTGGTAACAGTTATTAAAAGCACCAAGCTTACTCAAAAACCAGCCTGAGGTCAAAAAATCATAATTACAAAGTTTAGGCCTGTCATAGAAACTGTGTTTATCCAAATAAGTTAATGATAGTTTGTTATAAAGGATGAGCATGAGCAAAAAAACCCAGCACATTAAGTTGATAATGCAGCTTTTTCCATATTAACTTATAATTCCAGTAGTCTCGGCCTCCACTCTACCAACACCAACTAAAGCCAAGTAATCGTATTTCAATTTGCCTTCTAGAACAAACTCCCTTTAGTAAACAACAACTTCTCCACGTAAAAGTTCTGTTAGACCACCAAATCTCAATAATTTTTAAGCCCTATTGCTGCTCCCAAATTACCACAGCAAGAGCTCCCAAATTTGATGGATTGTACCCCTTGTCAGTCCAAAACCACTTACAAACCATGCTGCAAAACCAAACAAGATAGGTAGAGATAAAAGATAAGTAAAATGGAAAAAACCAACAGTGACTTGCTGTTTGATTTTGCATCACAGCAAGGGAGAAGCAAAACCAGAATCTTATTGCCATATTCTTGACGTAGAGGTTTCTTCCCAGGCAAGTCCAGGGTCCCTCAAAGGAATACCCCAATCTTCCACTACTTGCCGAGTCCATTCATTTTGTTTAAAGGGAAGAGTGATGATTCTGAGTCTCACCGCATCAAAGATTAGCTATTTAATAGTATCTCTGCTTCTCTTTTGACCTTTAAGGATCCTAAGGTTCCTTTCCTCCAGATGAAATACACCACTGCACCAAGTAGAAGTCTACTTATAACAGCCCCAACAGTTTTACCATTAAAATTGCTAGCACACCATGAAATAATATTCTCCCATCCTGTAAAATTAACTTGAAAATTACCTTTTTTCTGGACAGAACTCCAGATTTCATTAGTAAAGGGAGAGTCAAAAAATAAATGATCATGAGAATCAGGGGGACCTTCACATAGAGCACAAGTCAATTGCTCATACTGAGACCAGCGGCTCATCCTATGATGAGTTAACAACTTATGCTTTATAGCCAACCAAGTAATGAAAGAATGTCTTGGAATGCATGTAGCAGTCCAAATGAGGTCACACCAAGGCACCCTAGGATAATCCAGGGGAAGATCTTTCCGAGCTTGCCAAGGAGAAAACTTCATTTTCCTACCGTCCAAAGTTTTCCAAAGAGTAATGTCTTCCATATTAGAAAGAGGGAAGGGCGGTACCTGATTAGTAATAAAAGAATAATTTCCCTGAAAGTATTCAGGCCATGACCACTGCCCAGATTCTAAAACATCACTAACCCTTGCCTCTCGACTTATGCCCGAACGAACATTCTTTAGGGCACTTGAGAAGCCAAAGGACCAAGAAGGTGCCAATTGTCATGCTAGAAATAGGTAGAACAACCATCCCCAATATTAACCACCATGTGACTTCTAACTTTCTCTCTTATCTCGAGCAACTTTTGCCAACACCAACTGGCGTCTGCAGGTATATGGACAACCCAAAAACTATGACCTTGAAGATGATAGGTATGAATCGATCTTACCCATAGAGAGTCTTTCCCAAAAACAATCTTCCAAATGTGATAAATCATTAAAAACAGATTCCAATCTTTATGAGAGCGAATACCTAAACCCCCATTCTCTTTAGGACTGCATATGTCCTTCCAGGCCACCTTTACTTTGCCTCGAACCATGTCACTCCCAACCCAAAGGAAAGATCTCATTCATTTCTCCATAGCTTTAAGGACTGAAGAAGGAAGCATGAAGATAGAAGCCCAATAAACCTGTAAAGATGAAAGGACTGAGACCACTAATTGGAGCCTACCTGTATAGGATAAACACCGATTTTTCCAAGAGGACAATCTACTGTCCAGCCTATTAATCAATGGGAGGCAATCTCTATGGCTAAGGTGAGTGGTGACAAGGGGAACCCCCAAATAACGAACAGGAAGTTGACCCTCTTCAAAACCCATAATATTCTTGATAAGGATCTTGTGGTTATGACTGATTTTACAAAAGAAAGATGAACTTTTGAAAAAATGAGGGGAGAGACCCGACAAGTTGGTAAACTCCATGAGAGCATCCTGAAGCACCTGAACCGAGTGAGTGTCCCCATGACAAAATAGGAATAAGTCATTCGCAAAGCAAAGATGACTAATCCGAAGAGCCTCGCATCTAAAATGATATTGAAAATTCTCATTCTCCTATATTTTCCGTCGAAGAATCAAAGATAACACCTGCATTACAAGGGTGAACAAATAAGGGGATAAGGGATCACCTTGCCTTAGACCTCTCTTGCCCTAGAAGAAGCCATGTAATTCTCCATTGATGGCCACTGAGAAGGAAGTAGTTGTCACACATTCCTTGATCCATTTTATCATTTGGGAAGGGAAACCAAAAAATCGCAAGTCTATAGCAAAAAGTTCCAATCAACACTATCATATGCCTTTTGGATGTCAACCTTAAAAGCACATCGTGCAACTCCAAAATTTATGTGGTCGTTACGGAAAAGCTCCTGTGCAAGTAATATATTATCACTAATCTGTCTCCCCGGAATAAAATCGGACTAAGTATCATCGACAAGATCTCCAAGGCATCCCATGATTCGATTCACAATGATCTTGGAAATACATTTATAGATAACATTACAGCAGGAAATAGGTCTATTGTCTCCAACCTTTAACGGAACTTCTTTCTTCGGCATAAGAGCAATGAAAGTTGCATTAACCTCTCTTAACATTTTTCCGGAATTAAAAAAATCCATAATTGCTTTTGAAAAATCCTCCCCAATGATGGCCCACACAGCCTTAAAGAATTTAGCAGAAAATCCATCTAGCCCCCAGGCCTTGTCATTTCTAATAGAAAAGAAGTAGTCCTAACATCCTCTCTATTGATCAGCTTCACAATATTATTGCAATGAAAGTCTGAGACCTGTCTAGAAAAGAGACTTCCCATGTTAACCAAAGGATGGACTTGGACTGAGAGGTACCAAGAAGTTTCTCATAAAAGGAGGAGAAAGCTTCTCCTAACTCACGCCCCTCTGCCATGACACCAGAGTCCAGTTAAATACGATCAATCCTTCTTCTATTTTGATTAGAACGGAGGGATTTATGGAAAAACGCAGTGTTCTAATCCCCAACACTCAACCAAGAAGCCTTCGCTTTCTGCTTAAGGAAACACTCTTCATCGAGGAGGGCCTCCCTGTAAGCCGCTGAGAATATTATTTCCTGCTCTTTTAACTCTTTATTAAAAGGATCCCTGTCCAAAGCAAGTTGCAGATTCTCTACCTCCTTTCTCAGTGCTTCCACTTTTTGAGATAAGTTCCCCTGTTTTCTATTCAGAGCCCTAAACATCGGCTTGAGCTTCTTGAATTTGGTAACCAATTTAAACATAGGAACCCCTGGCTCATCATTACTCCAAATCTCCTAGACCAAAGGAAGGAATTCATCTTTGTGTGCAAGATAGTTGAAGAATGTAAATGGCTTTGGTTTAGCTAACATTTGCTTGGGGAATGTAGTGACCAAAGGACTATGATCACTTATGCCATGAGGCCAGAAAAAAAACATTTGCCAGGGGAATTTGTTTGCTTCTTTTATAAGATTAAAACCGAATAAACCAAAATGATTGAAGAGTTGGAAATTTGGTTTAAAATTCTATTGAAGTTTAAATTTTGGAGTGGCCCAACTATCAACAAAGACTCTTGGATGTATTACTCAAGAAGTTTTAAGTTTAATTCACTTAGATTGCTAATATGGGTGGTCACTGTAGGGATTTATCATTTACCCAACTGTCAACCTCAGAGTTTCAGAAGATTAGTTGAAGTGCATGCAAACTAGTCCGGACACACCCGATCACCCAAAAAAAAAAATTAGAGTTAATATATTGGTTTTTTTTAAATAAAATATATGACTATATTATAAAGTTGTGGTAAATGATACAATCATAATAATTAAATTAAAATATTTATGCACTTACCAATGCATCCAGAAACATTTCATGTATGATTTTATTCACTATTAAGTTATTAACAAATATAAATTAATTATATAGAGAGTATAGACTCTGTTTATGATGTTACCCAAACTCAGACAATGGCCCTCAACAACATCTTTAACACTCCACCACTCACAATTACTCCCGCCAAAACACCATTCATCACCACTCTTATCCTACGCACCCCCTGCATTAGCCTACACCCTCCTCCATATCCAATCCTTTCTTCCTCTTCTTCACCCAACCCCACCTTCACTAACCCTCCTAGAGCCTCCCCTCCCCAGAAATACACTTATCCTGACCCAATCCCTGAATTTGCTGAAGCTGTAAGTACTTGTTTATATGTTTGTATTTCCCATCTGTATTTATGTATCTCAAGTTTTATTTTTGTCTACTTTTATTTAAAGGAGACTCGCAAGTTTCGGGCTGAGCTTTTAAAGAAGCTGTCTAAGGAAAGGGAGACATTCGGAAATGATCTTGATACTGTCATAGATGTCTGTGCTGAGGTAATTCTTATTCTTTCTTTTTTTAAATCTGCAAATGTTGTTATTCTGATTGAAATGAGTTAAGGGAATTTTGATTTTTGGGAATTGTTTGCAAGATTAAATATGATGAATTGTCTTTCATTACTTAGTGTTGAGTGGTTGATGATTATGTGTGTGATGACTTGTTTTTGAAGTTTACAGTTTGTGCATAGAATTTTTTGTTGTAAAATTTAATACTTGGATTTTTTATGGAGTAGAAAAGGCATTGTATATGTTGTTAATTGGTAATTGGCCCGCTTAAATGGTCTTAGAAAGGTGAGTAAAACTTGAACATCAACTACTTGACGAAATGTATGTGAGAAAATAAGTCTTCAGCTTGATGTCATAGATATATATAACAGATCCAAGTCACTCTTGGACAGCTTTAACTCTATGGATTTGTTGGAAGTCCTTTAGGAGGCCAAACAAATGCTTTTCTGCTACACATCGTACATTGGGAAACCTTGCCAGCGATATTGGTGAAGGGAATAAACTGGTCGAGTATAAGGGTGGTCACTTCTATAGCATATGTGCAGTTTGTACTCTAAATGTAAGAGCTCTAAGCCATCTTTTAAAAGCTGTAACTTTGTATGCATCCTGCCCTTCTTTTAAAGTTGAGGCTTTTAAGTGAACGTTTTAGTTCTAAAACCACAAGAAGTTAAGAATTGAGTAATTATTTGGGGCTGAATATTCTAGAAGGGAGAATGTATCATTTTTTTTATTATTATTTTTATGTACTGTTTGCAGAGGACTCTGGTTTATTTCTTCTTAAATTCTTCTCCACAAAAACTTTGCTTAAAACTTGTGAAACTAACAAAAAGTATGGCCATGTGTATATGATAGATGCCTTCCAATACTCAATCAAACCACAACAATAACAGTAACAACACTCAGACTCAACCCAGAAAAATATCAACAAACAATAGCCAAAACCAGAAAATAACAGTCAAATCTATTTATATTCTAGCAAACCAAATATACAGAAGAATTAAACTTAGCAATCACTACCCAACAGCACAATCAAAAGGGAAAGCAAACTTAAACAAAAGAAATAAAAAATAATGCTGGTTTTCGAGGGCCAACTCCCCCCAAATAGTGCTGGACTTCGACCAGCAACCTTCCACTCTCCTCTTTTCTCTTTTCTGAAGCATTCTGAAGCACCTCCCAAATTCTCTGTGTCTCCTTTTTACCCCATTCAGACTCTCTCCATAACAAAATTCCCCAGTTAGGCACACTCTTATTGTCACTTGTCCCACATAATTCTTCCTTAACATTCGAAAGCCTAGGAACCGTTTTGGCCAACTACTAATAATCCTCTACTACCCATTCCTACGCTTCCTACTATAGACCAACACATCAGGTGCTACATCAGTATACTTAACTTCATAGATAGACATGCATACATTGCAATGATATAGAACTATTTTTGAAATGACATAAATGATCTAATACTAAATTAAAATGCATATTGAGAAATACCAGAAAATTGTTTTTACAATAATGTGCAGTGGGAGAGCATGCATTTAATTTGTTCTTGTCCTTAATTTTTATTACCCTAAATGATTATTATTATTATTATTTTCAAAGAAAGAAAGAAAAAGAAAAAAGCTCTACTGAAAGACCTAGAATATTTTAATTTTTCCAGATTTGGTTAATGTTTGTCCATCAAGATTATTTGGATGTTGCATGGGTATTAGAGAGTCCTTTACTCATCAAATATCTTCCACAAATGATCTGTCTAAGAATATGGAAAGTCTTTCTCACTAATGATGGCAAAAATTTGACATTGATAGAAATGAATTGAGATGTCTAGACACATCTCACGTTTCAGCATACTTAGTCGACCATCACCTGCGGTTTATATCTTATGATATTTAGAAGAAAAAAAAAAAAAAAACATTAACTCAAAGTAGTGATGTTGCCCTTATTCATTGGTATACAGAAAATCAAATAAAGCCCTGGATCATCATTATGGCCAATATGAAAAGAACACTAGGCATTTGTGGTGGATCTGAGTCCCTAAACCAAGGGTTTGGGTGATGTGATTCATTATGTTGTATGATTTAATTCTTCTTGTGTTACAGTATATGTTGCCGGTACGATATGTGATGCTTAGCATTGATGGTTTGGACGTGTGGATTATTTTCCTGTGCCTGACTCTGACATGAGTATGCCAAGAGCAAATTAATATCCCCAAATTATTGATGCAACTGCTTGTTAGTCAAACTAGGTGGGCGTTGGTTGCTTGCCAATATATGTCCCATAACTGGTTGAATAATGTCTGATTTGAACTTTTCTTTTTACAATAAATGAACCAGAAAAGAAAATTATATAAATTATTCATTGGGCATTTGATATAACCTTCCATTTATGTTTCTGCATTAAATTATATATAACGAATGTACAGAAAGGAGTGAGTTCTCTGCTGGGGTATATTCCACCTTGCTTACGAACTTAGAATATGAATTGTATCATCAGGCTGGACTGAAACATGGAAAGCATGGCACTGAAAACCTAGGCATTGCTGCTATCTGGTTGCTTTCCTTGAGAGAGTTGTGGCGTCTCCATCACTGTTGTTTGTTTGATTTACGTTCAATGAGTTTCCATTTCTGTTATCACATGGTTTGGGAAAATGATGTTCGAATAAAGATTCTGTCGAAATAATCATAATTTGATAGTTGGTGATAATATATGCTAATACAAATTCTAAAATATAACCATTGTCAATCCAATGTCTTTAAGTATGAGAATAATTTGTTTATGAAAGTAGAAAAGAAGATCAAGTTCAAATGGACAGTTGCTTTAATCGCTCGAATATGGGTGAGAAATTAGTAAATTTTGTATTTTATCTGTATTTTCATTTACAGAATATGCTTGCCTTTCTGAGACTAATGAAGGATGTTGGTCATCATCACTGTTAAACTCTTGCTCATACATATTTAGAATCACATTATAGAGTGCTGGTCATCTTCAGCAACAAACCTTAATCTAGATTTCTAGCTCAAGCGTCTTTTTTATATCCTATCTTCCTGATATTAGTTGATTTCCATGGTACGTTTTTGTTTTTCCTGAAGAATAAGACCTTATTCATTTTCATCTCTAGGGAAGCCTGGCTTTTGCTTGACTTGAAAGCAGTTCAATGATTGACCCACTAAAGAAATATCTGACCTGACAACAAGAGATCACTGTTTTCCAGACACCTTCCATCAAATTATTCTAACTTTTTGTGCATGTCTGTCCCAATGCTGACAACATCTTCATTATGTTATGTGTATGTGATTCCTTATCTGAAAAGCAGAAGATTCTATTTTCTTTCTTGTTTTTTAAAAAAAAAAAAAAACTATATTTGAATATTTGAAATTTCAATGATGATAACTAGTTTGTGGTGTTGAAATCAGATATTTAGTAATTTCCTGCACCAGGAGTATGGAGGACCCGGAACATTACTGGTGGAGCCTTTCACGGACATGTTGATTGCTCTAAAGGAGAGGAAATTACCTGGAGCTCCCTTGGCTGCACGGACAGCCCTGTTATGGGCTCAAAACTATGTTGATAAGGATTGGGAGATTTGGAATTCAATTTCAAACCCACAAATATGATCGTACATTCATATACATTTCATTAATTTGTTCCTTTTGTTGTCTAGTTATATATCAGAAATCCTAGTCTGGCATCAACAACTTACAAGAAATTGGGGACAGCAATTACATTAGCAAGATCTAATTTCATCACAACATATTACTTTGTAATATTCATGCATTGCTCTTATTGAAGCTATACAGATGTCTTATTACTCGAAAAATTTGTNGATTTGGAATTCAATTTCAAACCCACAAATATGATCGTACATTCATATACATTTCATTAATTTGTTCCTTTTGTTGTCTAGTTATATATCAGAAATCCTAGTCTGGCATCAACAACTTACAAGAAATTGGGGACAGCAATTACATTAGCAAGATCTAATTTCATCACAACATATTACTTTGTAATATTCATGCATTGCTCTTATTGAAGCTATACAGATGTCTTATTACTCGAAAAATTTGTTTGAATCTGGGGTTTTCTGTGGCAAGGATTTAGAAACTTTCGGCCCCCACCTCCATGGTTTTAATGAATTTATATTTCATTGTTTGAGGAAGTTCATGTATGAAGAGCGTCTGCAAATGAAAATAGGCAGTTCATTAGACTTTTGAAAGACCACTGTGCATGTCACAATTTGAAACTTGAAATAAGCATTCATCTAGCTTCCAGCCTCAGAGATGCTTTGTAACGATGGCCGCCATGATTTTGATCTCATTGCAGCTGGGTTCACTGATGCTGTCCTTGGGCGGTGCCTTTCCTGTTTCAGCGCCTGAATATTGAAAATGGTTTATAGCATTAGTATTGATGGCTGAGAATGCATAAATTTAAAGAATCTATGAAACTTTTGTATAACTGATCAACTTTTATTGTTTAGTTTCTGGTCTATTATGCATATGATACGATCACGATCAAATCCTCTGCTTCAAATCTTTGATTAATCTTTTTTTTTTTCGTTGGTTCTAATGGTGGTCAAGCTATATCTAAATTTGTGTTGCAGGAAATTATTCACCTGTAACCCGTTGCTTTTCTAGAGGGATATACTTAAAAACTGAAGAACAGGAATCATTCTCAGTGTGTACTTTCTTCCTTGTTAAATGGATCGTGAGTCGTTTCTAAGAAAAGAAGAATAGGAATTGAGCAAGTAATAACTTATCATGTTAGTTGAGAAGAGAAGAGAAGAGAAAGATACCTGGGTACTGTTATCCATGTGGGATTTGGGTTCTGTTTCAGAACCTGAACTCTGCTTGTCCTGAGGTATCTGCAAGTTCTCAACTGATTCCTGCTGGTGCTTCTTTGTCTTTGCATACTTCTTGGCCTTCAAGACCTTCATAACCTCTACAAACCCAAAAGAAAAGCACAATCAATTAGAAGTCATATTCTTGAAAGCAAAGAACAGAGAAGATGATGATATTTGAACATGAATAAAAACCTTGAGAAGTGATAAGTCGATAGGCATGACCAAGAGAAAGAGTATCAGTAGGCCTAAGAAGCTTAACCCTGGTAAAACGGACGGACTTTTGATCTTCTTCAGGTAGAGGAGGCAATGGTATTATCAAAGAAACATAGTGACCCGGGTTCATTCTCATAACCTCACTAACTGTGACTGGCCAATACAGCCTCTCTATTTTCCCACTTGGATGCTGTATAACCAAGGCAGCAGCATCAATAGCTTGACAGTTTCCCATCTTCTCAAATCTGTTATCTTTCTGTTTGTATGTATGTATGCAAAATTAGAAGAAGAAGATTGAAAGATAAGAAGGAAGAAGAGAAGGAAAGGGAAGGAGGGAGGGAGGGAGGTGAAGTAAGCAGAAGTCTCTATCTATACAGCAACACCAACACCAACACCATCCCACCCTACCACCCTTCAAATTATAGTAATAATCCCGTCTCTCTTACTTTACTTCTCAACTAACTATTATGCCACGTTGGCTCCCTCTCTCTCTCTTAAACTCGTTTCAATTTCACTTTCACTAATTAAATAACAATAATAAGAAAATATGTCCGCAGCGGCACCGGACCATGGAAGCAGGCAAGAGCAGCACGTGGAGAGATGAGAAGAGATGGGAGGATTGGACAGGCGTGGTCGGCATTGACGACGGAGTCAAGATTTGGAATGGAAACAAGGCCCCGGATAACTGTTGCTACTGATTTTTTATTTTTGTATAAATTAAATAAAAAATATTACATCAGCTCCCAAGCATGCGTGCCTATCACCTTATCCTTCTGATTTCTATCACGATGAAATCAAAGAACTAAAAGTTGTATCCACCGAAACTTTATCTTGAAGTTATCTATATATAGTATTCATGTCCGTAAGTCCCAAACAAAAAATTATTGGTATCAAGCTATTGTAATTGATGTTTCTCTGTATTGGGAATCAAAATTATTTACACAGTTAAAATAACATATTCTTTAACCTGAAGGGTTACCTTTTACGTTTTTTTTTTTTTCAGATCACTTTAGGGTCAACTATTAAATTTGTGACTTAACTTAAAATATTAGATTTGTAAGATATTTAATAGGTCTTGAAGATTAGTCGAGATACATATTTTCTAGGTTTAAATCATTTTAGAGTCATCTATCACATTTATGAATTACCTTGAAACATTAAGTTTATAAGGTATTCGATGAATCTTAAAGATTAGTTGAAGTACGTACAAACTGACCAAAAAGTTATTTATTTATAGTATGATCAATGTGACTCACTCTACTTAGTGGACATAAAAAGGAAGAATATTAAAACATTAATTAAGCACAACTTTTTGTAAAAACTCCACGAACTTACACTGTCATCTAACCTTATAACTAATTTAATTTCCTCTTTTATATATAGCACCTCGCATCTCTATAATCAACTTTATTAATTCTATCTTTAACAAGCTATTTATATATATAGACGTTAAATAAATCATTAGAAACCCATTTGCAATTATTTTTTTAAAAATAGAAATCAATGAATAAAAAAATTTTAGATGTTTCTCAGAAGCAACTCAACAACATTGTAAGTATCAAACATTTCATATAGATACAAAAAGTATTTCAACTACATATAGAAACGAGTAGAACAAGTATTTTGAAGACAAAATTAGGTATGAAAATAATATTATTGAAGACGGCTGCCGGCATGGATCATGTATTAATACATTTGACAGAGGCAAAGTCTGACTACAAGATATGTTAACACGGGACATAATCTGTTTTAATTACTAATTGTTGTTGGATTAAGAGCCAAGATGTGATTAAGTTTAAGAAAGAGACAGTATTCTGTCTGAAGATCTTTGACTCCTGTTAAATAAAATTAGAATTAGAAACCCACAAGTTGAAAAAATGGATCCATGAATCACATGTGTAAACATCTTGAGATTAATGTCAGTAGATGTAAGCCATGTGCGATGTTGGGGATATTATTAAATGAAGAATGGACTATTTCTTGTTCGAAAATGACTCTTGTAGGGGACTACAGCCATTGATTTTTAAATGAAGAGCCCTTAACTTCTTTTGGTTTAGGGTTTAGGGTTAGGGTTAGGGTCGAGGATTGAGGATTGCAGCCATTAATTTATATATAATAAATATCATGAAACCTTATTGATTTTTTTATTATGATTGTTAGGTCTTTTATGTCTCTTTATAAACATTCTTATTTCTAATTTAATTAAAGCTTGGTGGGTGTTGTGTTAGTGGGGTTTTATTGTGCTTTTTTGTGAATGACATTTTTGAAAGTTGCTTTCTCCACATTCTTCCCCTCTAATACTATATTACAAACTATCCATTCTTTGCTTAGTAGTTAAAATATACTGCCTAAAAGCAGAAGATTATTGATTTAATGTTTGAGATCTAAGAGTCAATGGAGATGAAATTAAATTTGATTATACCAACTACTTCATATTAGTACAATGTATGATCATCTTTTAGTACTACAATTGGTACGGGAAGTATGAGTGATACGGAATATAAATCTGTATTTAAAAATATTAATATTGATCTATTGATTTAAATGATAGTCGGTGGAAGTTATTTGCAATATGGAAATTGTGGGAATTTAAGAAAATAAATTAGTACAATAATGTTGACAATTCTTATTATTTCTCAAATACCCAGAAGGCAGAATCAACTAGTATTTGTTGTTTTCTCAATTTTCTTCAATGTTACTGGTGAATAATAAATGTGATAGTGATATTGACGAAAAAACAAATGTCTTCTCTCCGAGGACAATTCAAAATCGATTTAAGGTTGAACACCAATTCTCGTATGCAGTGACGTAGTCACGATTTTTAGCAGTGGGGTTAAAACATCAACTAAAAACTGAAACCTCATTTTATTTTTTTTAAATAATTTATACTAATTCAATAAAATTCAACTCATAAACCTATATAAAAACTCATCAAATTAAATTCTAAATATCAAACATTTAGTATATATCAAAATTAAACAAAATTTCCAAATCTCTACGACTTATGGTTTTATCAATTCTTTAAATCCATTCAAAATTAGTTCAATAACTAACCCAAATTATCAAACCCAATTTAAAACAATAACTATTTAACTCATACCTCAACATAAACAATATTAAATCAAAGCCCACATCAAAATTTAAGAATATGCTCCGTTTGGTTCACTTTTTTACACTTTTTAGAAAAGTTTTGTGAAAAAAGTTAAAAATAGTTGAATTGGGCGGGTATTACGATGTAGGATTTGGACATTAATAAAAATACCCCCTATATTTATTTATTTCCTAAACACCCCTATAATAAAACATTAAAAGTTAAAAAAAACACCCCCAACCCACTCAAAAAATATGACAGCCGACCACCACCACCGGAGGGTGGCCGGAGTGGCTGTATCGGCGCATGACCGGTTGGATCTTGCCGGTCGTGCGTCGATATAGCTTTTTCCAGCCAGATCCACTGTGGATCTGTTCAGAAGAGGCCAGATCTACGATTAGATCTAACGACTACCATATATTGGTCGTCGTTGACGACTGGCTATGACCAAAGATCTAGCCTTTTCCGGTAGATCTGGCCGGAAAAGGCTAGATCGGTGCACTACCGGCCAGATTCAGCCGGTAGTGCACCGTTTTACCATATTCCGGCCATCTTCCGGCAGTGGTGGTCAGAATCTGGTAAATGTGGGTTGCTAGGGTGTTTTTGCAATTTCTAAAAAAAATATTTAGGGGTATTTAATTAAATTAACAAATTTAAGGGGTTTAAAAAAAGTTGAATAATATTTTGAGTTTTTGCAATTTTACTGTTTAACTTTATTGGGAATACTAATAGTAGTATTCCCAAAAGGGAACCAAACGGAGCCTTAATTTTCTAATTTCAAACTCATTTATTAAACTTAACAAAAACTCATAATTCATGACCTTTCATCAATTAAGAAAGCTAAAAGAAAATATTTTTAAGCAAAAATAAAAAAATGATCATCATCTTATCTTGTAACCTCTAAAGGAATAATCTTTCTTGAGTGATCCAATTTAAGGAAGAAAAAAGTATGAGATAAAATAAAGAAGAAAGGTAAAAAAGTGTTAATTAATACGAATTTTTGTGAGATCAATATGAACTTAAATGGGATCAAACTTGTAAATTCCATAATATATAAACCTTTTTCTTTTTTTTTTTTTTGGACAAAAGTTGAGTGGATTCAATTGAACCTATAAGTGTGGCTGTGGCTGTGTCCCTGGTATGAATATGGATATCAGTGCTTTATTATACGGTAGCTAAGTACTATAATTTCGGTACAAGATTTGTGATAGCTGGTGGGAGAATAATATGGTTTGTGGTTTATTTGAAAATTTATGTCACTTTCTATTCTTTTATTAATAAGTTATCTCAAGTCTTGTGTTTGTTGAAGATGAAATTCAATCCAACTTGTTGTTACGAAAATTCGCAACAACCAGGGGTACCCAGTCGACCACGGTGGGACTGGATAGGATGTGTGTGTGATTATAAATAATCAGCTTGGAATTGATTAGAAAATCCACAACATGTTTAGACAAGAGGTTTTTAAAGTGGTTTGGCGGGTTATAACCAAGCATACATCAACTGCTATCTTATTGCTTACGCCTGGATTACAAACAAGATGATTACCAGAGAAAAACTATAATAGCAAGTTGATGCTCTCTCCAAATGGTTTCCTGTGCTTGAGTGTATTCACTCCAAGATCCTTCAAAATAGAGATGATGCCTCCCTTTTATACACACCGTCTGACAGTTGATGGGAGTTGGTGTTACAGGGTGGATTAGACGCATAATCCCCTTAATCTGGATTTGAGTCAGCCTTCACCCATGCTTAAGTCAAAACATTCATGCTTAAAACTGATAAGCTTATTGGTTAAGTCACTTGTTATGGGAGGGACATGTGGGACGATCGTGACTGCTAGATCATGGTATGGTTCATGGACAAGTGGCACAAATCTGAGTGTCGAAAATCATGCACAACACAAATCAAGAGTAAACTTTGATCCCTTTGATATCATTTTTTTTTTTTTTTTTTTTTCTGATAACAATACAGGGTGGAAGCATTATCAAACGAAGAGCTTCTTCATAATAAAAATGTATAATAATTTTATTAAAGTATGAAATCATTAAGACGATTGAATTGAAGGTCAAAGATGTGGGCTTGGTTTGAATTTGATTGGGTGGATAAAGGGCATAGATTTCATTAATTTCCAATATGTGGAGATCAACTTTTTGTTTTCTATTAATTGATTTTATTAATGCATTCAACTTTATTTTTAAAGTGGAATAGTATATTCTTAAGCATATAATAGAGAATTTTTTATAATATTGTTCCTTTAAACTTGATAATGCAGCATCTCCAATTGCAATCCACAAAGAGCTCAACTAGTGGAAAGAATTTTTTTAAGTTAAATTAGAATCCTTCTTTACCAAAGAAGATTGAGATTTCTCTTACATATTGGAATAATATAAGCTGTGTGGCAAACTAGTGTATATGATAACATTAAGAATCTCCTTTTAAATTTACTTTATACTATTTAATTGAATAGATACAACTTTTTAAAGGAGTATATAATATATGATAAGTATCTTTTTCTTTTTTCT